TAAATATGACCAATCATGGCTTTGCTGTTCTTGAGAAGAAGATTTTTAAAGATTTTTCCTATATATTCCTATGTAAAACTTTGATCGCCCATTGTGGCCCTTCCCGACCCGCGGGGGTCATGATTTGAACAAACTTGAATCTACACTATCTGAGGATGCTTTCATATAAATATGACCAATCATGGTTTTGCTGTTCTTGAGAAGAAGATTTTTAAAGATTATTCCTATATATTCCTATGTAAAACTTTGATTGCCCATTGTGGCCCCACCCAACCCCGGGGGTCATGATTTGAACAAACTTGAATCTACACTATCTGAGGATGCTACCATATAAATATGACCAATCATGGCTTTGCTGTTCTTGAGAAGAAGATTTTTAAAGATTTTTACTATATATTCATATGTAAAACTTTGATCGCCCGTTGTGGCCCCACCTGACCCCCGGGGGTCATGATTTGAACAAACTTGAATCTACACTATCTGAGGATGCTGCCATGTAAATATGACCAATCATGGCTTTGCTGTTCTTGAGAAGAAGATTTTTAAAATTATTCCTATATATTCCTATGTAAATCTTTGATCGCCCATTGTGGCACCACCCAACCCCGGGGGTCATGATTTGAACAAACTTGAATCTACACTATCTGAGGATGCTACCATATAAATATGACCAATCATGGCTTTGCTGTTCTTGAGAAGAAGATTTTTAAAGATTATTCCTATATATTCCTATGTAAAACTTTGATCGCCCATTGTGGCCCCACCCGAAACCCCGGGGGTCATGATTTGAACAAACTTGAATCTACACTACCTGAAGATGCTTTCATGTAAATATGACCAATCATGGTTTTGCTGTTCTTGAGAAGAAGATTTTAAAAGATTTAACCTATGTATTCCTATGTAAAACTTTAATCGCCCATTGTGGCCCCACCCGACCCCCGGGGGTCATGATTTGAACAAACTTGAATCTACACTATCTGAGGATGCTACCATATAAATATGACCAATCATGGTTTTGCTGTTCTTGAGAAGAAGATTTTTAAAGATTATTCCTATATATTCCTATGTAAAACTTTGATCGCCTATTGTGGTCCCACCCGAAACTCCGGGGGTCATGATTTAAACAAACTTGAATTTACACTACCTGAAGATGCTTTCATGTAAATATGACCAATCATGGCTTTGCTGTTCTTGAGAAGAAGATTTTTAAAGATTTAACCTATGTATTCCTATGTAAAACTTTGATCGCCCATTGTGGCCCCCCCCGACCCCCGGGGGTCATGATTTGAACAAACTTGAATCTACACTACCTGAGGATGCTTCCATGTAAATATGACCAATCATGGCTTTGCTGTTCTTGAGAAGAAGATTTTTAAAGATTTTTCCTATATATTCCTATGTAAAACTTTGATCGCCCATTGTGGCCCTTCCCGACCCCCGGGGGTCATGATTTGAACAAACTTGAATCTACACTATCTGAGGATGCTACCATATAAATATGACCAATCATGGTTTTGCTGTTCTTGAGAAGAAGATTTTTAAAGATTATTCCTATATATTCCTATGTAAAACTTTGATTGCCCATTGTGGCCCCACCCAACCCCGGGGTTCATGATTTGAACAAACTTGAATCTACACTATCTGAGGATGCTACCATATAAATATGACCAATCATGGCTTTGCTGTTCTTGAGAAGAAGATTTTTAAAATTATTCCTATATATTCCTATGTAAACCTTTGATCGCTCATTGTGGCCCCACCCGACCCCCGGGGGTCATGATTTGAACAAACTTGAATCTACACTACCTGAGGATGCTTCCATGTAAATATGACCAATCATGGCTTTGCTGTTCTTGAGAAGAAGATTTTTTAAAGATTTTTCCTATATATTCCTATGTAAAACTTTGATCGCCCATTGTGGCCCCACCCAAACCCCGGGGGTCATGATTTGAACAAACTTGAATCTACACTACCTGAGGATGTTTCCATGTAAATATGACCAATCATGGCTTTGCTGTTCTTGAGAAGAAGGTTTTTAAAGATTTTTCCCATATATTCCTATGTAAAACTTTGATCGCTCATTGTGGCCCCACCCGACCCCCGGGGGTCATGATTTGAACAAACTTGAATCTACACTATCTGAGGATGCTACCATATAAATATGACTAATCATGGCTTTGCTGTTCTTGAGAAGAAGATTTTTAAAGATTATTCCTATATATTCCTATGTAAATCTTTGATCGCTCATTGTGGCCCCACCCGACCCCCGGGGGTCATGATTTGAACAAACTTGAATCTACACTATCTGAGGATGCTACCATATAAATATGACTAATCGTGGCTTTGCTGTTCTTGAGAAGAAGATTTTTAAAGATTTTTCCTATATATTCCTATGTAAAACTTTGATCGCCCATTGTGGCCCCACCCAACCCCCGGGGGTCATGATTTGAACAAACTTGAATCTACACTACCTGAGGATGCTTCCACATAAGTTTCATATTTTCAAGCACAGTGGTTCTTGAGAAGATTTTTCTAATGATGCCATTAATTTTTCACGAATTCTTAATTATCTCCCCTTGGAAGAAGGCGCGGCCCTTCATTTGAACAAACTTGAATTCCCTTTACCCAAGGATACTTTGTGGCAAGTTTGGTTGAAATTGGCCCAGTAGTTCTGGAGAAGAAGATGAAAATGTGAAAAGTTTACAACAACGACGACGCCAACGCCAACGACAACGACGACGACGACGACAGACAACGGACAAATTTTGATCAGAAAAGCTCACTTGAGCCTTTGGCTCAGGTGAGCTAAAAAGCTCATAATTGTACAAAGATGTAAAAAATATTTGCTATCAGTTCACCTAATCCATTATCTAGACTACCTCCAGTTATTAAATGAAGTGAACTGATCTAAATGCACATGCAAGTCTAAGTAGGATTGTTGTTTGAGTTTCATAATTAAGGATAAATAATACTTACAAAATTTAAATATCTTTGTTTAAATAGGAGCCTCTCTAACTAAAGAAGTGATATTTGTTTAGTTGAACAACTTTATTTCTGACCAAGCTACAAAATTTGGTGAAAAGTGGGAAAATGTAACTTTATAGCTAAAAAAATTATTTTTGAAAATTTAAGAAATATATGAATTTTTGTTACTGAAAAGTTTCTAGGAACATTTTCTAGAGTCTATTTTTACATTTTACATAATTAAAATTTTCTAATTAGATCTTGATTGAAAGAAATAATGAAAAAATAGCAATGTAACTCTTCTGTATGGGAGATAAGAAAAATTGATGTGGTATTGTACCTTTAATTCATTCATATAGACAGATTCCTTACTGTTTACCTTATTCTTTGCATTTAAAGATTCGACAAGTCTATTAATTTAATCATGAACATACGTCAAACAATATCATATATACATGTATAAGCTTTAAGATACAAAGTATGTGTTTAAAAATATCATTTTTTTTTCTTTACAGAATATATTTTGTGACAATTTTACATTATTTTTGTGTCAGATCACAGAAATTGCACTTGCATGAATTTATGATCTAACACAACCAACAGTGAGAAATTAAACAAAACAAATAAAGAGAAAGTTACTATATGCTACATGGAAAGTAAGAAATGCTGTAAAAATTATCTGAGTTTATCTATGGTTATTTATTTAAATCTTAACAAGACTATTTCTTTCTTAATCAATTAGAAAAAATGAAAAATTTACTTCATGCAAGCATATTCAATTCCCTTTATGCCCTAAAGAAGGAAAAAGTTATCTTCCCTCACACAATCTAAAACATCATTGAAAACACAGAATTTGTTGTCCCTTACATAAAATCTTTATTTTTAAGCTAAATTAAAATCATGATAAATCATTTTGTGAAAATAAATAACACTACCACAAAGTAATGCTAACTTTATGACCTTCCTTGAAGTCATATCTGCATGTCATTCTGCCCACCATATTATAATTCTTTTGAAAATTACTTCAAGATGCTTTTTTAATACAATAGGAAAAGATTAAAGTTATTATTGTTATCCTATAAGCACTTTACTCTAACATTACTATTTTCAACATTCTTCATTTCTTTGGAACTGTCAATTTACTTTATAAAAGATAAAAGGAAGTACATGTGCATGCTGGCACAATTAACTTTGAAAGCATTATATTCTTATTTATACATGTAGGTTCAAATATATTAATTTTACAAGGGGAACATGGACTTAGATATGAGCAGACTGACAGAAAAACAAAATCATGAAACGAAAAGACCCTTAGCAAAAACAAATGCTTTATTTGCATTGATTTTTAATTTTATTTGTCTTGAAAATACATTGAACATTGATTATGCATTCATTTTTGATTGAATACATTTCAACAATCTTCAAACCATTGATTTTGGAATGATTGAAATGTGATTTATTTATTTAATGCTGTTTCAATGCATTTATTATGCATTTATTTTGAATTGATATGATGTCATACCAATAACAATCTAAACATCAAGTGTTCTCTTTGGTAAATCCATGATTGAATTTGTATTTATTTTCTGAAGCATTGATTCAGAAATAAATGGTAAAGTATAACAGAATTTACTTCAAGTTTTCCAACTATACAGTACACATTATATAAAAAGTAACGTACATTTAATCACGATCATAGCGATTTGGTGATGGACACACATACTTTTGGTCATTAATAACTACAAAATTGTTAACATTTAATATAGACTGAATAGGTATAAAATCTACATCATCACTTGTATCAACTTGCCAGACACATCCAACGGATTGTATTTTGGGGAGTAGTTTTACTTTTGCTAAGTTTACTACTCTATTCTGTTCCTCAGACTGAATGAAAAACAAAACGCTTCCAAATTTTATGCTATCCCCAGTAATGTATGTAATGACATTTTGTTGACGTTTCTTTAAGCGGTCATATGCCTGTCCATAGACATAAAATCCCTTCTTATACATATTTATTCTAATAAAACATTTGACTAACTCATTATGCACACCAAATTTAAGAGCACACTGTCTGAATCTGTTAATTGTTTATTAGATGCATTTCCAATAGGTCTAATGCCACTTTCTATTTCTGTAATATATTTATAGCGACCTGCTACAGAGTCAGTCAGTTCATTATACAATGAAACAATTTCTTCTTCATCATCATACTCTTTCAGAAACAATTCACGAAGGACAGGTGGTACCTTTAACATACAAACAATATTTGTTATTTGAGTTTCAACCCCCTGCGTTCCATGTATGTGTTTCACAATAAAACCATTCAAATCTTCAAAAATAAAACAATTATTTACATATAATGGTCCGGTGTGTCGAACACAATCTGTTAAATGTACTAATTGATGAACATTCAAGGTCATAAACCTTTCACCATAGAGAACTTGATAGTTCTCAACAAATAATAAGAGAGCAGATTCTACTACTAGCAATTCTTCTTTGCTTATACCTTCTTTTGACAATATAAAAAAAGATCTAGCTAATAAGCAAAAATGCACAAAATATTCTTGAGTCAAAACATTTCTCAAGATTGGTATTCCCCAATATAATATAAAATTTCTGAATTCTGATGACTTCCAGTGAGTGAGTTCATCCAATGTCTTTGGAATTCTTGTTACATACAGTGTTGGCTTTATTTTGTTCAAGAAAGAATTGACATCATTGCATTTCACAAAGAAAGAAAAAATTTCAGTTTTGTTTTTCTTATGAAACCATAATATTAATAATTGTTTACAAACTCCTAAACAAATGCCATGCATATAGTCTATAACACAACTGTAAATAGGATTAAAATTATTTAAATACATAAACCAAAATTTTCCTTTGTGGCCATTTACTGTAGTTTTGGATTCACGATTTCTAATTTTTGCTGATGCTAACTGAACATCTCGTTTCACAGTTTCTGGTGTTCGGGGAGGGTACTTGGGTTGTTCCTTAAATGGATACACATGTGAAATCCCTCCTGATTCATGTTTAAATGTTTCACCTTTCTGTAGGCAAAACCAGCAGCTATAATCTCCATTAAACTGGTTACAGTTGTAAACTATTGCTAGTGCTGGAAGATCACATGTGCATGTTAACAAGAAACATTTACAGTCAAATGTGTTTTCATAATAATCACAAAATGTGTGACCTTTACTTCCAAGGTCATTCAGTTCCTCATATAGTGGTTTTAGAAAATACCACATCTGTGGCTTTCGACAGGAGATCCAAACACAATAAAACAGAGCATAATTTTTTTTCTTTCTTTGTGCAATGGGAAGCTCATTAATAAGCATATACACAGGCCAGATGCTAATGTTGGATGATTTGAACAAAGGAGCACCATCAGTATTAAGTGAAAAAGATAAATTGTTTGGAGACGATAAAACACCATCATTTTGAAATAAGTGTTTGTACAATAACCCATCATAAATATCAGAAAGTTTATCTGCTTTATTGCTTTCAAAATGCTCAAATTTATGTTTTCGCACCATGTCACAAAATTCCTTATTCTTCCATAATGCTTGCAGTTGGGATAAAAGTTTGAGTTGCATAAAGTATGCCCTAGCCCCAGATTCCGTCAATGATTTATTACACAACGGACAGTTTTTCTCATTCTTGCCAACTATTTCATAACAAGAGTTGCAGTGATATGTCAATGTTGGTATCAAACAATCTGTGAACAATCTGATTGTCTTCCTGAAATGGTATAGACTCCCAGATAAAGTATGTCCTAAAGGTAAAATACAAGCCAAAAGTCGAAGTAAGTACGATATTGCTTCATCAGGCAATCGAAATCTAATCACAAAGCAGCATATCAGCAAAATTACAACACCAAGAGTATAGGGTGATCCTTCAAACAGGGGATCTGTAAAGCGGTCTTCTTTGGACTTGGAATCATCAGGTTTGGGTACAGAATTTTCTATATCATTGAATATGAAATTTGTAAATTCATCGACAAATCCTACATCGTCTTCAATATCAATCTCATTTTCATCACACAATAAGTCACTGTCCCTTAATTTTGCCTCCTCAAGAAGTTCATCAAGTACTTTGTCACTTTTAGGGTCAAACACTTCATTAGGTATATCAGGAACATTGTTGGATACCGAAGTTTCTCTTTCCTCTTCATATGGTTCATTTTGATGCAAAAATTCAGCATTTTCTTCAGATTCATCTAATTCTGCTGCAGTATTTTTGATTTCATCACCGTTGTTAACATTTTCCACAAAATCATCCACTGCAGTAATTTCATGACTTTTATCATTAGGGCGAAGTTCATTTAAATTATAACCCACATTTGAATCTACACTTTCAAGTCTCTCTTTTTTAATATGAAGTGCCATTGGAACATCTTGATCACATAAAACATCCTCAGTTTTCTCAATGTAGGTCTTATTGTATGCACTGGTACTTGTGTCTTCAATGTCATGAATCTATATGGATAATAATAACAGTCACTTGAAAAAAATACATCTTATAATATATACATGTACACATTAAAAAAAACCATACCATACATTTAGATATTATTTTTTACATATAGATATATTTGAGGGAGAGCAATTAAAACAATGTAAAAGAAAATGTTTAAAGTCCCTACTTTAATGTATTCATCAATGTCATATAATAAATAATATAGTCATGCATGTGGAGAGAGGGGTTAATTTATTATGATAAATACCTTAAGACCCCCCCCCCTTTCTCTCTCTCTCTTCCGCTATTAAAAGTATCAATTCATTTATTTAAGTTCTTTGAAATTTTAGTTTTGATGCCCAGTGGAAAGTAAATATTTGTTTAACTCTTTTATTTTTTTCCCCTTTATTTTTCTTGACATTCATGCGTTTTAAATTTAATTCTTTATTGCATAATACACCCATATGGGTCAAGCAATACAATTCATGATTTAAAAAAAACAAAGAACAATGAGTGTATTTATACAATAGCCGCAATTTAAGTAATTTACTCCTTATATGTTACACCAATGTGGATCTTTTATTTCTTAATTCTAATGATTGTTTTATAAAAGTGCAAATTAACAGCCGTACGTAAATTAATAAGGTGTGTAACCCCCCCCCCCCCCCCTCCATATATAAATATGATTACGCCACTGAAATATGCAATATACATATAAAGGAAATAAGTAACCGAAATACCTTTCTTTTATGATATGGACCTCTTTTCTTCTTACACGATTCTTCCATTTTTACCACTGCTGTTTAGGATTAAGATAATTCATCCCAGATGCTCTGTGTGCACTTAATGTCCGTTGAATGGTTTTATTGTTTCCATAATTTTTACGATGTTTTCTAAGGTTTGTAATGTCTTTATAGTTAAAAAGGAAAAAGTTTTCATTACAAAAAAAAAAATTTCAAAAAGCTGACATTAACTCAAAATAATAATCTATATGTATATATTTTAACGGCAGTCTTATATTGCTGGTTATTTAGTGTTGCCCGTTTGTAAAGCATGCAGCGGGAGGCTGATAAAAATCACGTGATTACTTTACGTCACTTTATCAGCCATTTCAAATTCTGCTGGCGCTGCATGCAGGCTAGAAGCCATGGCGTACTTTGATGGAAATGATCTACATTTTGTTGTGTTCTTCCCTGTGGACAAAACTGTTCATATTATGGCAAAAAGTCGTGTAGAATTTAAGAATGAAGAAGAAGGCAGTGTTGTTGTTCTGTGGCAGACAAGTGATATTGAAGATGATGGAAAGATGGTGTTCAAGGAAATGCCATACAATGGATACATTGTTTCTCTCAGGAAGTAAGTTTCGTGTTATTTCTTTTTTTCAAAATTTATTCTAAATCACTAATGATTTACACAAAGGGTCTACATCAAAATTTATTATTATATGTCTTGGAAATCGTGTATTACGACATAAAATAACTGTCATCAGTTCAGTGCAAAGGTACAGCAGCGGATCATATTACATTGAAAATGGCAGGCATAAACAAAATACGTGCCAGATGTAAAAATGACATCAATAAATTTTTATATGTGTATTATATTTTTATGGGTATTTGCATGTTTATGTACATCATTTGTTAATAATAAACAAAATTAATGATGTACATGAACATGCAAACACCCATGAAAGTTTATAAACAAAGTGGAGAACTATCTGACACCAAGCTTATATACAGGGATAACTTGAATGCAACGCTTGGATTTGACCAATGTTGTGTTTACAGCATTATTTTACCCACCACTGCGCATTCTGTGGAATTTCAGAGAGAGGGAACATGCCAAGTATTAAATTTCACTCTCGAAGCAAGTCTTAATAATATACAAAGAGGTAGAAAATGCTTGCCACCACATGCTATCTGATCTAAGTTTATCTATGCTGTTTGTGTAAGCAACACTGCTGGTGTCCACTGCTGGGCAGATAGTGTAACTATAAACTAATAAATATTCAGACAGACACAGATGTTAATGTGAATAAATTAATATCTTACTTCAAGCTGAAATTAGCACCACATGGCATATCTGTTAGGCGGATCCAAGATAAGCCCTGTCAGGCTCCCCTTGATAGTGTTTTAATTATCTCAGGTTTATGCTGCTGTTTGTAAATTTATGCAACTCTTTTTGTTTGAAAATACATATGTAATATTTAGTTAAATTATTTATGATTAAAATATTTTCAAAATTAAGACATTTCAATTCTCACAAAAGGGTGTTTTAATAACAAATGTAGATTTGAAAACTGTTAAATGAATATCACTATAACAAATTCAATGAATCTGTTTGCTATATTTTTTTTGGGGGGGGATATCAGTAAGAATATTGTCAGGCCTCTAAGTGGCCTCTAAACTTTAGGCCCCAGCTGGCACCTTATAAAAAAAAATATAGTTGCCAATGCAAATTTTTAGTCGCCAGGCAATATTTCTGAGGTGCTGACTCTAAAAGTAAATAGAATATAGAGATCCATGACATGCCTAAGAAAACATGACATGTCCATTGCTAAAAATATTTTTCTCTAGTTTTAAATTTCTTTATGCTTTTTCAGAAAAATTGTTAAAAATGTGAAAATTTCCGGGACTCGACGATCACCAAGTCAATTTAAAATGGTCGCCAATTTGCCGACTAATTGAAAAATTTTAGACGCCAATCAAAAATTTTAGGCGCCATGGCGACTAAATTAGTCGCCAATTAGAGCCCTGATAGTGCTTCTCAAAATAATCTATCTTGAAATGCTTCTTAAAATTATTTTTCATTTTAGGTCTGCAAAAGTGCCGTGGATTTGATAAGCAAATTAAAGAAGAAGTATTTGCAAAATCTCAGGAGAAAGAAACCTCAACTTTAGTTGAAGCCATGAGAAAATTATCAGAAGAAATGAGAAAAAGTGGGAAGAGAGGATCCAGTCTCAAGCTGAAAAGAGTGCTTGAGGAAGAAAAGGATGATGGGAGTAGAAAGAAGACAAAGAAAACACAGAAAAATAAACATGATAAACCTGAAACCACCTCTTCAGCAAAAACAAATACTAGCAGAGCAACGAAACTTAACGATCTAAAACTGAAAGAATTAGAAGCTTTTGCAGGAATACAACAGAGGCCAGTCCAGTCACCAAGTAAACATTACCCTGTAAATCCTCCATCTACATTAAGTTCCAAAAATCAAAGAAAAACTCCAGTCAAGTCCCCAAGAAAAACACCAGTTAAGAAATCACCAGTCAAGTTCCCAAGAACTCCAGTCAAAGAAACTCTAGTCAAGTCCCCAAGAGAACTCCAGTCAAAACTCCAGTCAAGTCCCCAAGAAGAACTCCAGTCAAAACTCCAGTCAAGTCCCCAAGAAGAACTCCAGTCAAATCACCAAGAAAAACTCCAGTCAAGTCCCCAGGAAGAACTCCGGTCAAAGAAACTCCAGTCAAATCACCAAGAAAAATTACAGTGCAGTCACACAAGAAAACTAAATTCAAAACTGTTGAATCACCATCCAAAAATTTTGAATCACCCCCTGCAGTAGAAACATCCTTCATAATAGGGCAGGGACTGGGAATCCTTAATGAAGATACCAGTATGAATTTTGCTTTGGACAATGGCATAGAGACTGAAAATGTAAGTAAAATTTGATTTTATTGATATCATCAAATAATCAAATCAAAGTCCATTTCTTTGACCTACTAGCATCTTTGAATTTTGCTTTAAGTTATTCCTAATGTGTAAAGATTATGGTAAAAATGTTTAATTTTTGTGTTTTTGCAGAAAGTTAATTTTTAAAAAATAAATTCACTTGTGTATTCTCAGTGTTGGTGACCTCTTAATTCCTTAAATGATTTGCATTTCAGATGCTTGATCCATCTTTCCCTGAATATGGGTATAATGCTGCTAATGCAACACCTTGTTTTCAAACCAGGACAACTCAAGGTGGCAGTTCAAATTTCAGCATTCTCTCTGGCCCATATCCACTGGACAATCTCACAGGTATTTGCATTATTAAAAGTAAATTAAATTGATTGTTTAAATATGATGTTTCATGTTGTATATTCATGTTTAGTGTGTATTTCTACTTTTTTCTACAAGGGTACTACAGAGGATTGCATTATGACCAACAATGTCAAATCCTGTCATTCCTAAACGTTCTGACAGATACACTACAGAATTACACCTATGGAACTAATTATGCACCAATCCTTGGAACACCAGGTCCATCATCAGATCCATCATGTTCACAGGATGCTACCCCCTCAGTGGAAACTCCAACTGTTAAAGAACCTGTAAGTAGGATGTACTTATAGCTGTCTGTTCTATTTCTAATATTTTCTTTATGATGCTTGTAAACATGACAGTGGTATTAATTTCAATATGTTTGTAATCAAAAAATAATATGCCAAAATAGAAAATCGTGAAATTTGAAACAAATGGAATTCCAAGACATCAACAGTAATTAAGAAAATGTGTTCTATTAGTCATGACAAATACACATGAATATATAGTGTGTTTTGTTTTGTAGCGTTTGTTGCCACTGATTAATGATGAGAACAACACATTTGGAGATGTCCTTGTAAATCCATCAAACCTGATGACAGCCGAAATGAAGGCTTAAACAACTTCTACAACAAAAAATGGTGGCATTTATCTACTAAATAAAGTCGTGGAGATGGTATTTAAAAAGGAGGAGTTGTGTAAAAGTAAAGGTCTAAAAGGTCTGGACCAACACAAATTGGAAGCAATCCAAGGTACTAATCGAAACATCATATATTTCAAATGGTCTTCAGCTCTCATTTCTTTTTCTTTTAAAAGATTCATTTATATGTCAAATGATAAATATCTTATATTTATTTTTTTCTTTCAGAGTACATGCACTCTAAGTGCAAAAAATTGCAGTTGGATCCTGTGCCACCGAAAATCTTTAACAAAACTATTCAGAACAAAATTGGAAATCTTAGGCACGAAACTAAAGGAAAAACCAGTCTAGTTGGGAAAAAAGGTGCAACTAAATCCAGTTCCACAAAGAGTACCGATAATCAACAAAAAAATCCAGAACAAAATGAGAAACAATAATAGACATGGAATTAAAGAAAGTGTGCTTGAAATTGTGCCTTTGTGATATAAAGGATTAATGTATCGAATCACCCTTATTGTGACAGTGATTTATCGGTTTCAATCATTCTTAATTCATAGGATGTTAGTTACATTTACTTGGATTTAAAACTGTACTGGTGAATCTTTTAAGATAAGTATTTAAAATTTCTGAATTGGTAAAGATACATGTAATAGATTATTAGTAATGTTCGCATTGAGTGTTCAATATTTTTTCTCGCTGTTTCTCAATATTTAATGCTTGATATTGTTTGTTTCTGTGCATTGATTTTCTATTACTTCTTGAGTTTTATAACATCACATAAATGTTTTTATATGTATTACTTTTACATTTTTCTGTGATGTCACAATAATGCTAAATGACATCAGATAAATGCTTTATAGTATTTCATTTATTTTTGTATTGATTTTGCATTTTTCTGTGATGTCAGAGTAATCCTTCATCTCATTTACATATTTCGCTAAAATCAAGACATGTTCAATCAAAAATAAATACAAAATAAATCATCATGCAATGTTCAATGCTATTTAAATGCTTTTCTTTCATGCCATTTAGCAAGGAGGCACAGTTGATTCCTTTACAAATCAAAAAACAATGAAAATCCAATGCTCAGAAAACAACTACAAAATAAATCAAAATTCAATGAATTTGTTTT